AAGATATATTTAATGCCTTTAAAAAATATGTTCATGGTAGTAGAACAATTTTTGGATTGGGTATAAAAATTTAATTTTTAAAGCTCATATTGAGAAGTCAATTTACATTTTATGCTATAACTGTCTAAATTAAATAGGATTTTACCTGATCAGCACTTAATTTAATTATAGAATTCTTATATCAAACAAATATTAAGGTTAGATTCCACTATTGTTGAAAAATTTAAAGGAAAATGAGATACTTTTTTTGACCAAAACTTAATAAACTGCCTATCAAGAAAATTTTAAGATATATTTTTCTTCTAATCATGTCAAGAATTAACTTTGATAATCGTTTGACTACAGAACCTCAGCTTTCTAGGTCAACTATGGTATAATTTAGATAGACTTCCATTAAAAATGATAATTGAAGAAGAAATTAATGTGCTGTAAAATTATACTTGCTGAAGTTAAAGAGGAATCAATATTTTGTGAAGTTTTGATTTTTACCCAAATGAATGTATACCAATTTAAGTTTACCTTGATATATGCATAAGGAAGCTTAGAATAATTTAATTCTATTAGCAAAGGACTTTTGGTCATGTTAATGACCATATTATTATGGATTTACAAGTAAGGGAAAAAATGGAATATATCGTATTTATTATGCAAGACTGTAATGATAAACGTGCTTGAATTGAATAAAAGAACTAAAGGTTATTATTAATAAGTTTGGAAATTAATTTGGCAGAATCAGTTAATGAATTTAAGTGTATCCGTCTATGGGATGTCAAAACAGGATTAATAAAAAGCAAAATTAGAGTAGTTATGTCTAGTCAGTCTGTTTCTNTATTTCTTCAAATATTCAACCCAAATTCTATAATATCAAATTAATATTTCGGAACCAATATCTGAGTAATTTACTTTAAATAATGGTTTCTTTTATAATGGATTCAATTACGAAATGCGATAATTTTGGGTTAAGTATTAGCCTCCAAAAAGTTTTTGATTCTTACTGTCAATGGGAATGAGTTTCTTGCTCCAAAGTTCAATAGATTAAATTGTGCTCTACCTTTCGTTCTCTTGCTTCTTTACATTTTCATAGATATTAAAAATTATCGATCTAAGTTTAACTCTTAGCCTGCTTTTAAATGCATTATAATTGTTCTTATCAGAGATTTTTGGTAAAAAAAAGATTTTCCTTTTATTAAAAAACCCTTATACGTGTATTTATGAATATATAAAATTTAATTACCACTAATATTCCCATCCTCTTTATATTCAAGGGAGAGGTTATTAATTATTAAGGCTTTGAATTCAGATAATTATCAAAATATATAATAATCATGGTTCTTACTATTTTTTTAGTAATGTTGTAACGTTCTAATCCTGTCTTTTTAATAAAATTTATAAACCTTAATACTGAAAATTATAATTGAAAAATTGTAGATTAGTGAATAATTATTTGGTAATATAAGAAATATTCACATACTTTTACACATGGCCAATCATTAATATATTTTCATACTTTTTATATATTTAGTTAGTTCTAAAAAATTATCATTTAATTAATCTTAGGTTAATCTCATGGTTATCGAGAAAAACAATATCATGTAAATGTATAAAATAAAACCAATCTTGGTATTTATTTAAAATAAATTTAGGGTAGTTTCTTAATTTCATAATGAATAAATATAATTGTGAAATTGAACTAGATGAGTTCATAAAACAGATACACTAATATTAATTTTATTCATTCTTGACATATCTTTTTATTATTTTCTTTGTTATTAAATATATCTTTTCCTGTTTATAAAATAAAAACTAAGATGTACAAAACTATTGATTATAACCTTTCAGGCTAATTCCGTTTATAAACAGTAATAAAATAAATCAATATATCATAATATTTTAGATTATTAAATAAGCATGCAGTTTTGTTACTTAATTTTAGCCTCTATGTTGTGCTCACTGTTTTTAGAATATTAAGCTAATGTAGTATCATTTAAAATTAAATCTCTATAAATATTAATTGATAACAGTTTTGACATCTCATTAATTATTAGCTACACTAGGCTGACCATATATGCTAATAATTTTCAAATAAATGTGATGTATATTTTACTGAATTGAAATAAAACTTTGAAGAATAAGAATTTACCTATCTTACAAGTGAAGATGAAGAACAAAGCTGATAATTAAAAAATATAACATATTGATTGTAATTATAATTGTGGTATTGTAAATGAATAATCACGCTCACTTTTATTTAAAGTCTTCTGAACAGCAACTTCCTTTGGATTTGAATAAAGGTTTTAAATCTTTCCCTTAATGAAATTCTCCTTACAAGATAAGCGTTCGTATTGCTTCCAACATTATTGATTAAGATATATTTAATGCCTTTAAAAAATATGTTCATGGTAGTAGAACAATTTTTGGATTGGGTATAAAAATTTAATTTTTAAAGCTCATATTGAGAAGTCAATTTACATTTTATGCTATAACTGTCTAAATTAAATAGGATTTTACCTGATCAGCACTTAATTTAATTATAGAATTCTTATATCAAACAAATATTAAGGTTAGATTCCACTATTGTTGAAAAATTTAAAGGAAAATGAGATACTTTTTTTGACCAAAACTTAATAAACTGCCTATCAAGAAAATTTTAAGATATATTTTTCTTCTAATCATGTCAAGAATTAACTTTGATAATCGTTTGACTACAGAACCTCAGCTTTCTAGGTCAACTATGGTATAATTTAGATAGACTTCCATTAAAAATGATAATTGAAGAAGAAATTAATGTGCTGTAAAATTATACTTGCTGAAGTTAAAGAGGAATCAATATTTTGTGAAGTTTTGATTTTTACCCAAATGAATGTATACCAATTTAAGTTTACCTTGATATATGCATAAGGAAGCTTAGAATAATTTAATTCTATTAGCAAAGGACTTTTGGTCATGTTAATGACCATATTATTATGGATTTACAAGTAAGGGAAAAAATGGAATATATCGTATTTATTATGCAAGACTGTAATGATAAACGTGCTTGAATTGAATAAAAGAACTAAAGGTTATTATTAATAAGTTTGGAAATTAATTTGGCAGAATCAGTTAATGAATTTAAGTGTATCCGTCTATGGGATGTCAAAACAGGATTAATAAAAAGCAAAATTAGAGTAGTTATGTCTAGTCAGTCTGTTTCTCTCCTGATGGAAATACATTAACTTCTGGTAGTAGTGATAACTCTATCCGTTGATGAAAAATCAAAAACAAGTATTGTTCAGATTATAGATTTAAAGAAATTTAGGTTAAAAATGCAAGATATCCTTTTTTTAACACTCCTTTGCAGTAAAAGAATATTATTTAAAATTTAGATACATCTAATATTATGGTTACCCAGACTTCAATTTTTCAAGGTTTAAGAGAGTTTTTTATAAAAAACCGTTTCCTTTTTTGGAGAATTATTGGAGTAACTTATAATTTCTTACAATAACACTTGATTAATTTAACAAAAAACCTATATTAACCCTTAATTTAAATATATTTTAATATACTTCTTGTGTCCAATATTTGTTGATAGAGTTCTATTTTATAGTTATTTTCTTTTTTAACAATCTTGAAGCATTACTAAAATGGAAATTTAGCACATTTTAAAATATTATGAAATAAAACTTTTAGTTGCATGAATGCAATAATATCTTAAATCTTTGTATACTGTTTTTTTGATATTATTCTTATCATAACCAAGCATTTTCTCTCAATTTATATTTAGAATGTGAATTGTACAAGATTTATAAAGTAGATTCTACAACCAAATCTTTCAACATTTATCATTTCTAAGTTTTCTAATCTTCGTATTTCTTGAGAGTCAATATATTCTAATATTCAATTTCATAAATTAATAATTTTCTCAACTCAGATTTAATTAACAGTAATACTATTATTTTTTATAAAATTGATTTTATAAACTTTAAATTTTAATAATGTTATTGAAAAATTTATTTTGGAAATTTAAGAGAAAATACTCATGCATTTAAGTGTGACTAATATGAATGCTTTTTATATATTTAAATAATTTATCGTTCAATTTATCTTAGGAGATTGTTATAGAGAAGATAAATTTTATTAAGATTGTCCATTGTGTTTATTAATACCAATAATTATTTCCTTTTTAATTTTACAATTTAGGTGCAATTTCTTAATTTAATTGTAAAATATAACCATTTAATGAGTTTTTAAAGACTTAAGGGATATTATTTTTGAATAGATATTAATTAATTTTGTAAAAATCATTTCGAAGGGACCACAGTGATTATACATTGAGTAATAACTGTTTATTATTTGATGTATGTAAAATTTCACGTTGTGCTCAAGTTAATCAATAATTAAGATTCATATATAAAATGGTTAGAGAAGATATAATTATCTCCTTAAATCTTAATAATTTCAAAATTATACTACTTTTTGAATATGTTTTCAAAGTTTTTTAATATCTTATAAATTAACAGGGGATTGATACATTATCTTGAATTGAGAGTTAAGTTAAAATTAATCACTATGATATTGTTAACTTTGTTATATAGTTTAGATTATATTCTAAGATTAACTTTATTTTTTTAATTATTGTCATATCTTTTTTATTATTATCTTTGATATTAAATATATCTTTTACTATTTATAAACTAATTTTACATTATTATTAATTATATCTATTAAGACTCAATCTTTATTTTAATCTCTTCATTTAGCTTACTGTTCTTTGTTTGGATTATTAATTTAATTTAGTATCATTTAACATTAAATCTCTATAAATGTTAATTAATATCAGTTTTTTTATAAGTAGATCTCAATAAATATACCCTACATTTCCTTAAAATGGAATACTTTTGAAAAACTTGTATGAATCTTAAGAAATCAAAATTAAGAATAAAGCCAAAAAAAGATATAATTAAAAAATATAAAGATTGAATTTAAATAATAATTGTTGTAATAATGTTTATGAATAATACTTATCATTTTTACTTAAGGTCTTCCAAAAAGCAACAACCTTTAGATTTGAATAAAGGTTTTAAATCTTTTCCTTAATGGTTAATAAATTCTCCTTACAAGATAAGTGTACCTGATGCTTCTAATAAAGGATTCTAACAAATCCTAAGTATAGTACGATCTGGCTCAACTAAAAAATAATAAATAAAAAATACCATTTGGTAATAATGAACTATTCTATAGTGGTATTTTAAATTATGCAAGAATATCTTTATAGTTTTTATCAGAGGATTTAATTTCTTATCCTGTCTTTACATCCCATAGACGGATAGACTTATCATAACTACCTGAAGCTAATGTATTTCCATCAGGAGAGAAACAGACTGAGTAGACAGTACTAGTATGACCATCTAATTTGGCTTTTTATTATCCTGTTTTGACATCCCATAGACGGATAGACTTATCATTACTACCAGAAGCTAATGTATTTCCATCAGGAGAGAAACAGACTGTATTCACAAAATTACGATGACCATGTAATTTATTTAATTCAGAGATTTGTAAGTCTCTCCATTTACAATTAAATAATAACGCCCCATTCAGATTTATTCCACTTATATTAACATTCTTAAATATCGATCCACTAAAATTGCATCTAACCAAATTAGCTCCCACCAAAGAAGTATTTTAGATGTTTATATTTTCAAAATTTTAGTTTCTAAGATCCACCTTCATTTAAATTAATAAGTTAAATGAATTAGACCCACTATATATTAAAGTACCATCTAAGGATGTGAGATGAACTAAAAATTTCAGAAATTCTATGATCTATTTATTATCCTTGAAGCTATTAATTAGAATTAATTTAGATGCTTCATTTTCTTCAGAGGAACAATCTTTTTTGTTGAATTCGTGATCTTTTAATTTTCTCAATACTTCTGTGATTGAAATGATGTCGTTTCTAACGACAGACAAATTCTATTCTTTATCAGCCTGGGTGACATTCTCTCCTTTTTATAAGATACATGATTCTAATTGGCTTTAAGTCCCGTTATCTGAAAGATATCCAATGATGTCTTAAACTTTTTCCTTTCTTAATTTTTCTAATATGACACCAAAAATTTGATCATCTACATCTTTTATATGACCAAAGATGTCAGCTAGAGCTTCCTTTTCTTAAAAATGTACTTGCATATTCTTTTTTATTTTTAATAATGAATTTCTATTACTCAAAGTTTAAGTTATATACTGCGAAATCGATAAAAGTATCTTGTGCATTTCTGTAAAATAGAAGTTAGGACTTTGTGTAGATTTGGAATTGATTGTAGTAGATTTTAAATATGCTATTGAGAATTCATTTCAACATCTGCATTACTTGGTTTTTTAATAATATAGAATATTATTTTTTTATATGAATATTTTATTTGTTCAAAAATTGAGTTCTATGATTAATTCATTAATTTTTGTTTAACTTTAATTTTTCAGATAAATGTTTTCAGATAGAACAATGTCTTAATATTGTAATTGGATTTTTGGATTTATATTTGTAATGTAAAGTAAGATTTTAAATATATGTCCAAAACTTAGTGCGACTCCTCATATATAGTTTGTCACCTCTCAGAAGGGAAATTGTGATCATAAAATATTTTATAAATTATTAAACCCAAGTGGAGACATAAGCTAAACAATTCCTTATTACTCACCCACCATTCCTTGTTTTCCAAGGTCAGTTAGACAATCCTCTTTTGAGCTCAACATAGATTTCCTCATACCGCACTCAGAAGGCGGCCAGCGCTGATAGCTGTTCTCTAACATGTTTCCAATGGTACCTCTACCAGCTATGACAAAGGCTATCCTGAGGGATTACCCAGACAAGCATCCTTTGACTAGCACTTGACTTTGACAGGCATTTTGTTGTTTAAGAATGATGGTCACCCTATTCGCGGGCTCCCAGTCCATGAAAGACCCTTCTATGAAAATTAGATATTACATATTATTAGTTATCTTATTAGATTTAACACTCTTTAAAGATATAAAACTTATGATAGAAATAAAGTTGTAAAGTGAATGTAGGAAAGTCTAATTTTACAAAACCTTATTTAATTTCTTGACACATTTTTATATTAATTCTTTTTATTTTTTTCTAATTTTAAGGCATAAGATTGATTATTAATGATAATCTTAAATCACCTTCTAAAAATCTAATAAAATCAAATTGTAATCACAACCTTTAGATATATTTCTAAAAATTAATTAATTTGCAATTTGCAATTCAGCTTAAATAAGGTATTTAGGGGCTGAATTTCTCTCAAAAATACTCACAAGCTGGTTATAGAATTTGTATCTAAGCTAGTTAATCGATTATCAATCCTAGCTATTGAAAAATGAAATTATAAACAATTTATGATGTGATTAAAATCGTTCATATCTTATTAGTATACTTGAGAAAAAAATATCAGCGTTTAAATATTGGTTTGATTATCAAGGCAATTGCGATGATTTGTTAATAAATTACAGTTTTTGTATTTGATTTTTATCATTACTCCTTTAAATATTTAGAAGTCATATTTAAAAACCTGAAGGAGAATTAATTAGTTTAAATTAGATCTATTTGAACAAAAGTGAAAATTGATCTTTTATTCCCTTAAACTTAAAAGGAGAGGATCTTTTGATTTGAAGCGATCAAGAAAAATTACTTAATTAGATCAATCAAAACCATTTTATAATATAAATAAAAAACATTATATTTTTAATCTTTAAATAACTCCACTACTCAGAAATTGATGCTTTTAGAATCAGTAAGAATCTTCAATAAAAAATCAATTCTTCTAAAGTGCTTATTTTTTAATAAAATGAAATATTCTCAATCATCTGAACTTTTATACGTGAAATTTTATGAAACTTCAGCTCTCTTCTATTAAAATTGTAATAATTCTTCTTTAAATACATCTCTTAGTCTTGCTAAAATTCGATCTTGCCTTTCTCTCATTTTATTCTAAAAATCTTATGATTCTTTCTCTAATTTTGACACATCTTCAATGACATTTTATATTTTTTTCATAACTTATTCTGTTTCATTATTATATTACTTTGCTCTTTACACTTCTTTATCATTATTATCATTTATTTATATTAAGTCATTATCTTCACTTGATGAAGTAGATTCTTTCTTCTTATAAATGTTATGGGCCTATTTTTATTGTTGGATCATTTCCTCTAACGGCCCTCCCCAATTTATTGCTAATTTAAATTTAAACATTACAATCTGATTAAGGCATTTCCTTAGCCAAAACTAAAACTATATCTTTATTTGTCAATATTGTGTTAGGTTCTGGATTAGTGCAAATGTAAGGAACTTTATTATCTGTTGCTCCTGCCAACCTATATAATCCTAAAGGAACTATTTGTTTCATTTTAACTAAATGATAAAATAATTTTTAAAATGGTTTATTTTAAAAAGCCTTTGGAACTGGAATTTGAAATAGATTACTTGATATATCTTTATCTTAAGAAGTAAAATCTTTTGATTAACTCATTCCTTTGCTTTGATATTATAACATCGCACCTGTTTTTTCATTTTCTTTAATATTACCAACCAGTAATTAATATAATACTTAAACCAATGCAGGATTGTAAAATGACTAACACAGAAGACCATCCATCACTGAGGAGAAATAAATTTAGCCAGATGCAAACAATGGTGTGTGATTATAACCATACTATTTCATTAAATCATAATCTTTATCAAATAATAAAAACTAAATATTTGAAGGGGATACAAATTCAGTAACAATTTAAATGTGAGGTTTTAATCTAACTATATTTCGATATTTAAATATGGTTTTTGCATCCAATAAATCTTCCTGATCTTTAGTCAATTATTATTATTACACTATCTAATCATTTTCTTGAGAATCATCCTCAAATTTGGCAGTAGATATTTCTTTTGGCGATAAAATCACTACTCTAATTGCTTATTCAATGTTTGCTCTTATTAAATCTCTTTAACTCATTGCTGTACCTTTAACAAAATATATTTCTGGGAAATAACAAATTTGAGCCCATTATTTTTCACTTGGCTCCTAATCATTCAAAATTACGATTGGAGGGTAAGTTATTAAATATTTAGATCTAAGTGGCAATATAAAATTAATTAAATTTGCAACGAGTCCACAAAGAATAACATGATTTTAAGCTAAAATTGAATCTTATAGTGTTTTAAAAGTAACATCTTTGAGTCCAACTTTTTCATTTGTTAGATGACTAGTCTTTTCAATTTTATTATTGTTAAAATCGAGTTGAAGCCAATTTCTAGCTGTATCTTTCTAGAATTTTTCTTTTATCTACATCTCAGCTATATCCTTTTACTAATCATCGCTGTTTTCTTCAATTTCTTCTAATTAATCAAATTTTTCGTTTTCTTTTGGATGAATTAGAGTGTCTTAACTTGGATCGAACATATCAGTTTTAACCCAACCTCTTTAATTTTTAAGATGTAGAATAACATTTTTTGAATTTTCATTTTTACCAGTATTTCCCTTCTTTTAATCTGGTTCTGCTTAGGAAAATCCAAAAAGAGTTTTCACATTTTGAAAGATTGTTGGCCTTCTAGGTCGAATGTTTACTGTTTCTTCTGATTCCAATAATCTTCTCGTTGTACCATCTGATTTTATTTAATTCATTTTATCTTGATGACTCTATTTATATATGGAAATTTCATCTGCAGTTTCTTTATCCTTGCATATTATATAACCCATTACTCTGTAGTTTGGATTTGATGGTAATATAATATCTCCAGGGTTTAATAAATTTTTCTCATAATCATTTGGAGAAGATATTTCAATTCCAAATAATATGACTTGAAACTATTTATATAAAATTAAAACAGTTTGTGTAAATGATTTACCTCGAAAAAAATTTGGAAGCAAAGTTTTATAAATTTCAAATCCTTAACCAATCCAGTATTCATTTAACCATTTTTAAGGAAGATTAGGGGGATTTCCAGAAGATGTAATAAGATTTGAAATGAATGCAATCAATCCTGGGCACAAGCAAGATTTTGCAAGAAGTGACATCTTTAATTCCTCAATGCATATCACTTAATCAAATTTTGTTTATTTATTTAAAGATAAAAAATAATGTGTTTTACCTTCTTATCTTAAAATCTGCATACAGAATCTAATTTTTATTCCTGTAGTGTTATGTTGCTTTAAATAGCTTTTAATTACAATGGCTAATAAAATTGTTTTACTATCCTCAGCTGTTGGGTCAGAACTTTATTTATTGCACATAATTATTATCGCTTTCGCTTTTTCTATTTAGCATCTTTTAAGATCTTTATCTAAATGAGGATCGCCTTAAATGTAAATTACATTCGAATACTCTGGTTATTAAATTAGAGATTCTAAATTTACATCTGGCCTTTAAGGACATAAAATAATTGCATGCTTTTATGCTAATCCATGATCTTCATGAAATAATTCTTTAAAAAAGTTTTCAGCTGCATTCAAAGAAATTGTTCCTAAGATAACAATATGTGGAACAGCTTGGCTTGATTTATAATTTAATCTAGCATAGTATGATTTAGAGCTTAGATGTCGGATTAATTGTCCAGTTTAATAAGGAACAAAAGTTAATGCCAATAGAACAAGTATAATAATTAAAACTCTTGATATTGCACTCGAAAATTTATTCTCATAACCCATTGTAGAAATAGTAGTCATTACAAAATAAATAAAGTAATGAAATTTAAAATGCAATACAGTCTCTAAAAAAAGAGAATTGAAATGCAAAGCACCTGCAGCACAAAGGACCAAAGTTGCTGTTGTAATCATTATCGATGTTAATTGCTTATTAACTTCTGAATCTAAATACTTTTTCATTCGGTCAAATTCAAGTCCCCTAAATAGACATACTAAATTAGCGAAAATATTAATTTTATCATCATCTTCAATGAATAATTTTAGAGTAGAGATTTTAATTATAAAATAAGGAAACAATGATAAAATTGCAATTATTGATTCTGAGGACATAATAAATGATTAAAAATTTTTAGTTGCATATAATTTGAAAATCCACTCACTTAAAAGTAAAAGATGAAGGATAGTATTAAAAACAGCCCATGTTGCATTTTAAAATGGTTTCGGTTCATAAGTTGAATATATGTAAACAAATATTAAAATAAAACTAATAGACATATTGATACAGTCTATGATTAGATTAAATTCATCTCTCTAAATAAATTAATACAATTATTGTTTAGTTTATCTCTATTTATGCTTAAATTCCTTTTCTTCATCATCACTCATTGCTCTTATTTTTTTAATTTAATTAATTATATATTTTATTTTTAAAGAATTACTTTCAATTAACTTAAATTTTTGATTCACATAACAATAAATTGAAAAAAGAAGTAATTAATTTCTTATTATAATTATGAATTGATTTAATTTTGATAGATTAATAATATCAATTCTTATGCTTATTGACAAATGTCATAATCATTTCCAAAGCCGCTTAAGGTTGATCTGTAGGTATCATGTGTCCAGCATTATTTACTAATTATAACTCAAGATTTCCTGCTTACTTGTAATAACCGACAATTTTTTCAGTATCTAAGAGTTTAACAATTTCAAAATCCTTTTTTTTGTATTCATCAATTTTACTATATTTTAAATTGTAAAGCCATCTTAATGTTCCAGGAGTTGAACAAATTAAATCGTTCTAGCCACTAAACACAAACAGTGGAATCTTTGGTAATATTTCTTCAACAGTTTAGACAACATCTCTTAACATAAAATCATAAGACAAAGCCTTCTATACAGGGCCATCTGCACCATTACTTATCTTATAAACCCAATCAGCACTAAGTCCTAATTGATTTAAAATTAAAGGTTCCCTTAAATAATTTTAGATATTGATTTTAGCATTATTATAGCTTCCATACTATAAAACATTAT